GTATGGCACAAAATAAGGCAATTTAATTCTGCGTCAGGTCTGGAAGATAGTGGAAAAAATAAAACATGATTCGGTGAGATACAGGGAAGAGTCGCACGATACAGACCCCACGCCACCTCCAACAGTTTCAAGAGTATCCCCCAAGGTCTTTACACAATTGTGTAAAGCAGATATGTTCACTTGCTCTTGTGAGTTTCACTCCGTTATCACGTGTTTCAAAGACAGGATATATCAACTTAAAAACAAAGACAAATATGCACAAAGTAGACTAAGAGGTCAAGTCATGTATCGCTTTCATAAATTGCATCTTGTATGTTCACGAGCTCACTTTTTAGACCTATATAACAGAAAACTCTTTTGCAGCTTGAACTTAGGTGTAATACGTGAAGGAACTAAAAGTGAAAAAGAAAATAAGTGAACAGGCAGGCGTTTTGGCATTGCATTGAGATTGGGCATTAACTTTAATGAGTCATGGATTGAGCTGTCATTTTGTGAAGGGCTCTTTGAAAAGGTCTCTTTAAATTCAGAAGTCATGCGATGTTATCTAAGAACCGCACAAAGAAAAACACTTGTATAGTATTTCGCTAACATTGTTTGTCAAAATTGTAGTTTCGTTCGCTAACAAGGCGCCGCGCTCCAGTTCAGTAGTGCCTGCACTGCAAACAAACTGGGGGCCGGTCCATTTAACATCTGTTTTACGATAAAATTACAGCTTGATTTGTAACGATAATTTTTTAAATAGGGTTCATGCTTTTACTTTCATATTATAGTGACGCTAATTTGATATTAGATCTAAAATGTTTTAAAATATCAGTAGATAAAAATCTCACAAAAACAAGCTTATAGATGCATTCATACACGCGATTCATTAAGCCTGGATATCGAGGGAGCGAATGCCTGCAGATTTCTGGAGAAGGTCCACAAACTGCTTTCAGATGAGTAATATTATTTTGGGTTGTTTTCCAAAACAACTAACAAGTAGTCAATACAACAAACGGGAATAAGTCATAAATGAAACTGCGACAGTGAATACTACAAACCATTCCGGCTTTAAGGAGAGATGACCAAGGTTAAAATAGAGAGGTAGAGTTTAGCGGAAGTCGTAAGGATTGAGGTAAAGAACTAATTGGGTGTGGTTTTCGTGGGTTGTTCATTCATCGACATCAATCGGTCGGGAACTGCAGTCTCGAGCTTCTTTTAATTAAGAGTAAATGCTTGGTGACCGCAGTCTGAAGAACCAGGAATGTTTTATTTTCAGCGTCAGTAAAGATATTTTAAAAATATCATATGATAGACTTGCTACAATCATACGAAATGATGGCGTCACAAGCAAGCTGTATACGATACTACTACCCCATACAAAAGCCACTCGCGAGTCAGCACTAAATGTCTGTAAAACTAGGTTAAAAATCAAACACAAACCTGATCATAAAGGCTCTAAAGAAGATAAAGTGGACGATGGTATGCAAGGGTTCCTTCACGCGATTCTTGACTGTGAAATATTCAACTTGACTGAAAGGGAATGCGCAATATCACTACTGTGACCTGTGTCTTTTTAAAAACAATAAGGGGTAATCACATCTAAGATTTTGTGGATTTAAATACGATACTTGATATGACATCTGCCTGTCACGGAATTTGATGAGAAATTACGCAATCGTGGTAAGCACGAAAGACGCCTTTTATGATTCGTCCCCCAAGAAATGGGGGGCGGGGGGGCGAAGGAAGTCAATTTTTAAGACTTCAGTTTCAAGCTCTCTGGTTTAAGAAAGGGTAGGCTTTAGCTTTATATTGGTTATCATTTTACAAGACGAAACGTTTTCAATGCTTGAACTGCAACGGCTGTCTCATTTTGAGTCAGTTCTAAAACGAGGTATAGACAAGCTGATTCTCTCTTGGTATAGGGTTACACAAAGTATGCTTTTGTCTAATGTCAAAGCAGATCAAAGCAGTTACTGGGGATACAATACTTACACAGAGCGTCAAATTTTCGATCAGTTCAACAACAGAGTAGCAAAAAGCTCCTAATTTGGTCTCCTAATTTCGTCTGAATCTGAAAATAAGTAAAGTGAAGGAGTGAACTCTGATTTTTCCATTGCACTGCGATTTGGCAGAACTGTCGCTGTCATTCACGCTATATTTTCCCTTCCGGAGTGACCTTTTAAAGGAGTTTTATCATTCTGAAGTTATATGATGAACACTAAACAGTCGCCTTATTTCACTAACATTGTTTGTCAAGCAGGTTATCATTTTAGTTCAGTCATTCCTCGACAATGATTTCCTTTTAGACTTTTCACTTGTTGTGTCACTGGAGTTTGTACCACTGAGATGCAGTGTATTATCCATTTCTCGAAATAGCGTTCATAACTCAGATGCTTTCACGTTCATGCTCATTGAAACTTCCATTGGCGAAATATTTCATCTTTCAAGGAACATTTGCTCAGAAAGCTTTCGTTGATGGCCGAACCGAAATGTAATGGGACATCAAGAACTAGATATATTTCTTTGGTAACCGATTTCTCTCTCCCCAATTTAAGGCTTCTAAACGGACAGTCAACAGATAGAAAGATTAACGCCAAACATGGGAGATATTAAAGCTCTCGACCATCTGCAATTAAGTTTATTATGGCTGGTGAACAAGATAGTCTGAGAATTGTGAGAGGTTAAATTCATTCTAGGAAATACGAGGCATAATTAGTTATCTCGCCGTAGGGGAAATGCTTCAGTCGAGCTCCAACCAATTTACAAGGTCGGAATATGCCTTAAACACGAAAATAATTTTCTTTACAAAATCCACACACGGTATTGTTAATTCATAAGCCATGAAATACAAAATCGTAAAATCTTAAACAAACCTTTGTTCCAAAGCTCCGGATAAGAGAGGTGAGGTACGGTTGTATCGAGACTATGCAGTTTAGTGAGTGGTTCAGAGGGCGTCTTCAATGATTGACTTGATGATGTGAATCACGTGATATTTTTGAAAGAAACAACAGATCATTGTTAATAGCTAATACAACAAGGCTTCGTTGCTCTGAGGAAAGTAAATCGTCCAAAGATCAAGAGTAGCTAACGTGGCAGGCGTAAAAATTAAAGGGGTATGGTAGGGGAAGAATGCGACGGAGATGCTCGTCAGGAGTAAATTCAACTCCAAAAAAAAACCAAGCTGGGCGAAGCACAGGCTTCATTTGAACCATTTAGTCGACTGAACACAAACAGCTAAGAGCTATAACGCTATTAGAGCTATATTCTCGTGTTTAAGATGTATTCAACAGAGTTTGACAGCGGGTGCTTGGTTTGTTTTATAGAGATAATTCATGGCAGAACCCCAATGAGAGATACCTTTGTATGTATGGCTAACAATCTTGGCTATCGGCAGGAGTTGATCGTGCTTTCAGTCCTGCACACCACAAGTGAGGCCGAGATCTGCAATTTTTCACCCCTATAAAAGCGAGACGAAGAGTATCCCGGTCTTTTTCTTGGGAGTCCCCCCCTCCCTCCCCTCCCCTCCCTCCCCTGAGTACCTTTCCATCATCCCAGACCCTGACAACATCTGCCTCGCAGGAATTCAAGTGTTTCTCGGAAGAACAGGAACTTTCTCAGCTCCCAGTGGGAATCGACCCATGACCTTGTTCCGGATTACTGGTAAGGGTTCTGTGGATTCCTGTTTCTAGAACAAAACAGAACAGAACTTGTTTGTAATCCAAAGAGCGCCTGATAGCACATATGGTAAAAAGATCGTACGGACTTTTTCAATCCTCCAATTATAGCCTGCGGGAGTTTTAGTGCTGAGGGGGAGATTTTGAAGAAGGGCGCTTAACCGGCGTCTGGCACGAAATGGGCGTCAGTTATATTAATTGATATCATTCTATAAGATTTCCTTTGACGCAAAGCATCTTTACTTTTTGCGCATGCTCAGTATCCCATAGTGATACAGAAACCAAGTAAATGTTCATTATAAAGTGAAATACGAACAAAAGTTGCTGTTTACAATGAAGTTGTTTTTCAAACGTTTCGGGCCTGGCTCTTCATCAGTGCTATTGCAAGTACGTTAGAACCGGTGCAAGGTTTTTATTCACTTATGAAGTGAAAATTAAAACCTTTTTAGTGCGCAGGGGCTCTGCACGCAGTCTAAAGGAAACGGAAGGAGCGTTACTAGGCGTTTACGTTGCGCGTTGTCCCCGCGGAGCAAGAGCGTCGTTAATGGAGTGACCAACCGTGTAAAATAGACAGCGGCAGGAAAACCAGGCAAGTTCTTCTCGACGCTCCGAAGGTGCTCGCCAAAACGTTGTCTTTGTCTGTCGGAGATTATTCGGAAATAAATTTTTCAACAGGCAAAAACACCTCAGGAATGAAAATCCTATAAGAACGCATTTCAATGATTCTTTTAAAATCAATTAGTGTCAGGCTGAAACTTTTAAACAAATTTTATTTAGCTAAATTGGAAAAAAACATAGCACGGGCTACGTGATTAAACGTGCTAATGTTATAACGAGACATCTACAGACGTATTTATCAATAGTCTTGACCTTTAAAGAAAGCACACTTATATACATTAGGAAATAAGTACGTAATTCTTTGTTCAATTATAGGATTGCTTTCAAAGCTTTTTTTTTGCATCTAATTACTTGCCAATATTGTTATTGTAGAATAATTAAAGTACTCGCTAAGTGAATGAAAACAGCGTACAAATTGGTCAGGGCCCAGTTGCTCGAAGCATAGTTAGCGTTAACCAGCGTTTAATACCTTGACAACGTATTGGTTTTGATACTGCTTAACCAATGATTAAAGCTAACCATGCTTTGAGCAACTCAGCCCAGGTTGCTAAGGCGGGGAACTGACTGACTAGCGGAAAACTGGCAATTAGACGAAATCGTGGAAAAGTGCACATGAGAGAAACTAGCCTTAACCAACCAATCAGAGCAATGCGCGCGGGCAACGCATCACTGATATAGGCTTTGCTTCTGATTGGTTAATGGAGGGTATGAACTTTTTCACTGTTTCTACACGAAGAAAGTACTAAACAATTTCGAAAGGTTCACTTCAGAGTAACCATTAGCAGATAGGACTTTGGTAATCACTGAGTGCACAGCTTTGTAAAATGACTTCGTAGTCTGTGTTACGCCCACAGCTAAAAATAAGAAAACAGACGAAAAGAATTTGAACAGATTGTTTAAAGGTCAAATCAAATAAATGAGTAAATAATAATAATAATAATAAAGATTTTTTTTATTCTATGGTGTGGATAAAAATTGCACTTTCTACAACTTCCTTGGAAACATTTAATATTTGTTTTGCCACCGGAAGCACAAGTTTCTTGCCTCGTACCCAGGCGCGTTCTAGCGGATTGGAGAGCGACTGGATCATGGTATTATGGGAAAGGCGTTCACCCTTCCCAGCGCCCTTTGCGAAAACGCTCAACGTTCCCATGGTTCATTGTGCGATACTCTCGCTCGAAGTCGCGTGTTCCGTTTTCCCAACACACTTGAGACGCCTAGGAACGAGGCAGACAAGTCCCCACGTCCAGCGCAAACACAGGCACAGACACACAAAAAGGCACGTGATCATTCAGTAACCCAACATGACAGTTGAGCCCTTTCCACCTTGCAATTGTGCTTGCGTTTGAGTTGTCCCCGTTCAAACGCGTAAAAAGCGAACGTAAGGAGAAACGTAAGCCTTGACGCAAGAAATGGGCGCTCGGGTTTACGTCAACCCTTGAAGGTTAAGTTGTCCTTCTACCTGCCCAAAGCAAGAACAAACTATTTTAAGAATAGTTTTGCTTTTGCGGCTGTTGAGCTTTGGGGTTCCCTCCCTTCTTGTTCAAAGAAAGAGACTTTTCTGCAAAATTCAAGGCGAGGATCAAGTCGTACATACTATGTCAGTCAACCATTATAAATTCTCTCCTTTCTTAGTTTATAGAGTGCGCGATCTCTTCTTAGCCGCTTTAGTTTTAGATATAAACATATTTTTATGTAATTGAATTTCTTAAGCACGGCTTTCGAGAAGAACAGATAGTTAACCGTAAAGGTATTTGATGAAACTACCGTGGGTAAATAACGTTTTCACTCACACTCGGCACTTACTCAAAATACTGACCTGTTTTTGAATTTTTCACCGCGTGATCGAAGTCAAACAAGCGGGAGAAGTACAATAGTTGCGTGTACAGCGCTGTGTCGGAGAACTGAAAACAAAACAATTTGGCAACCACTAAAGGAGTTAGGCCACGAAATGTTAAATAAATAAATACTTAAATAAATAAATAAGTAATGGTGACAGGACTGAGTGGAGTCCAATTCGGTCTGTAATCATACGATTAACAAAATCGGATGACCGCGTAGCGGGAGTACGAGTTGTTTAATCACGAGTATGATTACAGACCGAATTGGACGACACGAAGTTCTGTTACCAATTTATCATAATTTTGACAAAATTTGTGATATATAAGGCTCTTTCGTTTAATCAAAACACAAGAAATTCCACGATCTTTTTCTCTAGCAGTGAAAACAAGCCATTTAATCGCGCGCGTGATGGCGCGTACTGTCCAATAGGCTGATTTAGCGACAGAACGGGAACGTCACTTGACTACGGGAAATCGCGCGGAAAAGACTAAACTCGACTTCTGGTGCCCAATTTACCGCTCAGCCTTTGGTCAAGCCAGTTGTTTGATTTGCGCGCACCACTGTCAACCTACCTTCCCGTTCTGTTGCTAAATCAGCCTAATTATTTACGCATGACGCGTACTGTCCTATTAAGACTGAAATCAGTGCAGTTGATAGCCAATCAGATTTGAGAATTTTATTATAGTTATGATTAATAAATAAATAATAAAATAAAATAAATAAATAATGATTTGGAGATAGCACATCCACAAAGCGGTTCTTCGTCTACCTGATTCCTGGTGGAATTGGTATTTGGAGATGTTGGTTTTTGAGGAGAGGGGAAAAGCGAACTACCTAGAGAAAAACCTCGCAGAGTGAACTCAACTCACATTATGGCATCGACGCCGGGATTTGAACCCGGGCTACATTAGTGGGAGGCGAACGCTCTCACCACTCCGCCATCCCTTGCTCCGCGTTCAAACGGATGCAACCTTGTTGGCCAACAAAGTTTTGAGCCAACAACTCCCAAGATTTCTTTTGCTTTGTGATCGCCGAAGCGTAGCGCAACAATGTTGGATCCGTTTGCAAACCTCCTCGAACATTAATTGTTGGGGCCACGCACGCGGATTACACATGGTCTTCAAAGTCTTATGGGTTGTATCCTTCCCACGATGCACTGCAGGTCCTAACATTGTTGGGAGTTGTTGCATCCGTGTGCACTCCACTGCAAACACGGAGGTTAAAAACTCCAAACATTGTTGACCCTGTCCGTTTGTACATAGTTTTAGCTGATAATACCAACAGAGTCAAAGAAAAATTTTGCACGGTCATGGTTGTCTTTGTTTTAGTTTTATACTCACCACTGGATGCAAGTGGGCCCTGAAGCATTGTGGGCACATAGGGGCGCCTCGTTGACGTGTCAGGGGTACTTGACGTGTGCTGTAACCACAGGACGGGTCCTCGCATTTCTGCCAACCCTGTGCGATTAGTTATAATGTGGGTTAGTTTTGATACCTGTCTTCAAAGCATAAAAATCAACAGCAAAAGAACAAAGGAATTTTTAAACAAAGAGACTGTTCACAGCCATCTTAGTATTGTTACTTAAAGGGGCTGTATCACGGAAGTCCAGTTCATTTTGTTTGATTTTGCCAATTACTCGCCCTCAATCGCTATGGAACTTAAACTTTAAGAAAAGAAATTACATGGAAATGACAAAATCAGAGATTCGAGACAAACGAATATGCCTCCTGAGCATTATTTTTGAAGTTGCAAGCAGCAGGGATCAACTTTGAAAAACTGTTTAGCTGAACAGTTTTCAAAAATTCTAATTTCAATCCGTTTTAATCTTCTTCGGTTTTGCTCATCCGTGGCATCTGTTGTATCTGCTGTGTTATTTTAACCTTTCTTTAATGTTTTAAGCGGTTATTTTTACGTTTCTCTTAATTTAACGGGAACTTTATAATTATCCAATTTGGCTGAATATCGTGACACAGCTCCTTTAAGAGAACGCACAAACTTATTTAGGCAAGGATAAGAAAGAATTCTTGTGCAATTTAGGGTCAACGGTCTAAATTTGGAAAAAAAAAAAAAACATACGGCTAAAAAGGTCTTTTTACTAACTGAGGGAAATATCCTTAAGATTGGCATCATTATCAAACCCCCCACACTTGCTGATGGTCGCATTCTTGCAACTCCAACAGAGATCGCATTTGAGGATGTGTTATCCGTTTAAGTAAGATAGAGGTATAAAAGTCTCTTTACTTTACGTCAGTAGCTCATATTTACCCCCTCTCTTTCCCCATCAGTGCTCTGTTTTACAGGTGTTTAAAGCTCCTTAAAGCTACACGGAAAGGAAAGAAGTTGAAAGAAGAATTTGGTGTCACATCTTGGAATCAAACTCGGACCCTCCTGCACAGAAGGCCGTGCAATAACCGATTAAGTGCTAATTCTTGCTCCTTGCTGTATAACCCACAAAAAAGCCGTACAAGTTGCTTTGTTATTTTTATTACAGTGGAACTTCGATTTAACGAACCTCTATATAACAAAGTCCTCGGTATAAAGAACGATTTTCATCAACCCGGCCAAAATTACAGTAAAATGTATGGCACAAAAGCTCGATTTAACGAAATCGTCGTTATAACGAACACAATCCAGAAACGCAAACGTAAAATATACCTCGATATAACGAATAAATGTCAGCATGTGACCGAAAGATAACTAAAGATGAATGCAAAAGGATAAAACTTGTGTCGAGGTGATAACGAGGTTTTCGATATAACGAACCCTCGATATAACGAACAAATTTCCCCAGTCCCTTGTCACTTATTTAAATCGAGGTTCCACTGTATACAATTGCAGTTGCAAAAAGTGAGTACTTTACAAAATTGCTTCAGTTACCATGTAGTATTCCTTGATGTGTCTGCGCATGGCAACGTTCAACTGGTTGGAAACTGCGCCAGCGCTGTACTGATTGTTACATCCGGGACATGTATCGTTGACTGCCAGTGCGTTCGACTACAAAAAAATTGGTGCGAAGTATTAATTTAAGACCTAAGACTTTATACGTTCAATTTTAGGTCCTTATCTTACTAAACGAATTTTAAAAAGTTTAAACTTAAAGAGCTTTAAGTTTCCATAAATTCTGTAACCACGAGCGTATCTCCACAAATGTTGTGCACTTGTGGTTTTTCAACTATACAACCTTGTAATGTGCTTCGTTTGGTTGCTTCAATAAAAACAACAATTATAAATGTTTTAAAAGCTTGTTAAATCTGTTTTTGAACTGTTATGTACCTTTTCCCTGTTGGTAATCCTTAATCCAGAGCATAAACTACACCTACCTCTGCTAAAGGCTTGGGATCGACATTGCTGGTTTTCGAAAATGGAAAACTGCGCATTTGACTTTAACTTACAGATCCCTGTTCAGCTATAACTCATGCATTGAATGTGCTTAACCTTAAACCCCTGAATAGTGTAAATTATAAACTCTCTGACTGAAGGAAATAATATCATTTGATGTTAAACTGTAAATGAACATTAACTGTTAAAAGTGTACTTACGGCGCCTTTAAAGAGGAGTTCGAGGGTCGTTTCTTGACCACAGCTGGAGCGTTTACACTTGACTATAAATCGCTCACAATCCTTGAGAAACAAGTAAGGTACAGATTAGGGTTAGGGTTTCTATTTGTGTTTTGACCTAGTCACCATTTTCACAAAGACTATGATGCCCGTTGTTTGCCCCCCCGCCCTCAAATTTTGTGTTCCGGTCTTGTGGAGTTTAGAGCATGCCGATTGTCGTAGACACAATCCACTTTACGTTAAAACGAAACGTCTCAGTGCTATTTAACTTCTACTTTTCTAATGGTTTTCTAAAATAAAGGTCATTTTGGGGTCAACAAATCGAAGAAAAGACGATTTAATCACTACTGCTACACTAGAACACTTCTTTCAGCTTTTAATTCCCACATTGAGTGATGGATCGAGATGGAGACGGAGGCGGTTTTAACTTTTGAATCTGTGGATTAAATTCTATGGTGTTACCATTCAAATGAAGCCTCTTCAGCAGTACTTTGAACTTGGTACTATATATTTAGTATGTAGTTCTAACAGTTTTGAATCTGTGTATCAAATCCTGTGGTGTTACCATTCAGATGAAACCTCTTCAGCAGTCCTTTCACATGGTACTGTAAAATTAGTATGTAGTTCCAACTTATTTATTATTTTTTTTAGGATAATGATTACTTTAATTAAATATTTATTTTCTTCTATCTCGGAGATATTAGCTTAAAGAGCTACACTGTAAATCTCAGGATAAATAAAGGTGATGATGTATGATGCTGATGATGATTTGAATCTGTAGACAAAATCCTATGGTGTTACTATTCAAATGAAACCTCTTCAGTATTCTCATATGCTGCTATCTGGTTTTCATCATTTAACAAAATTAAATTGCGAAATTTCGTCGAATTTTGACCTTGATCACCTCTGGAAGGGAAAATATTTACAGTTATACCGACCTTAAACCTTTCCTCGTCTGTCATCTGAGCCTGGCCACCAAGCAGCGCGTCATTTTCATCATCATGAAGGGCAGAGCTGCCACGATAACAAGAAGGGCCCAGGCCTTTGCAACGAAAAAAATGGTGATAAACTTCTAATAAGATTGTAAAATCCAAAGTGAGGTGCCAGAAAACTATCAATTAACCAAAAAATTGTTTTGAAAGAAATAACTTTGAAAAGATTGATTTGCAAACACCATAGCTCGCACAGCTCGCGCAGATGACAACAACAACGATAACTTTCACCTCTTTTCCCTACTATCGGTTGACACAACAAGTTTTCTCTTAAATTTACGTTATAAAACACATGGTTAACGTTTCATCGTGTATTGTTGACTTATGGATGCACTTGGGAGACGTCTTGGAAGGACTGCTAAGCTCACAAGAACTCGACGTCATCAGCGTGCTCAATGGGAATATGAAGCACGCTCGCGCTATTGAATTTCAATAGGCGAACATTCTAGCTATGTTATAACGACAAATGAACCAACGCGCAGAACACAATTTGACGTTGCTCTTGGAAATCACGTATTGCGCGCACAACAGGTTGCGCTGACGTCCAAAATTAACTGTAGGCTCTGAACGAATGAGATGATAGATAGCAAGTAGAGAACTTAAAGAAAAACTCCTTCCGGTGGAGGGGCAGAGGCAAATTCTCTGTGCCAGAAGCCGTAAATACGGGAGAATAAAACTGTGATATCAGGTCATTTTGTTGTTGCAATCCACAAGGAAACACTAAAGGAGTTAAAATACTTTAAAGAGACTTAATCAGTGGACACATTTTGTTTAGATGCGAACAGTTTTCTAGCAGCGGAGTTAAATTGCCCATTTACTTACCTAAACACTGGGCAATAAGAGCTGCATCTGTTCCGTCGATGGGATCGCACAAACGAGCTACAACTGGGTGAACCTGATTAGCGAGATAGTATTTCACATCTAGAATATAAATACGTCAAGGAGTGAAAAACAACCGACTTGCATTAGTTAATTCGATTTGAATTGGTAATTTGATAATGACCCATCTGAGGAAAGAACGCAGAAATTCCTTACTGATGACGCAATGCCAACCAGATCTGAGTGTAAAGCTTCTGATTGGTTAGAACGTTGCTTCATTCAAATATCAAAGGCACTAACAGATCTGGATACTGACACGTCACAAGAGCCATATCCATAATTATGACTCTTGCACGTCATCAGTAAGGCTGCGCTCGTTCCTGTGACGTCATTTCGCAGGGAAACCAGTGATGGCCTCGCGAAATGTCGGCTTTTTTCTCACGCTACATCAGCTGCTGCTAGATGAGGGAAGCTTGCGTCTTTTTTTTTTTTTAATAACGTTTATTTATTTAAAGGATACCGATCTTGAGTGTTTCAGATTTGCAGAACTCGTCCGGATGATAAGCTCGCTGACTTGCAGCTAAGGTGGAACCGTCCTGAAAGAAACAGCAGAGAAAAAAAATAACTGAGCGAGTAGCATAATTTCCGCGTTTCTTTCTTTGCAGTGTGTTTGATCATCTCCGACGGACAGAAACACTAAAAGTCTTCATAATATTTTCGTTTAAGATGAAATACATTAAAATACAGAGGTAAAATGGGAAAAATGGTCACCAGAGCTGCCTCCCTGTCAGGGTTTTTGCTATTTTTTGTGACGTGTCACGCTGCAAGAGATGTAGCGCAATGTCACGCAATATGTACATTTTTAACCCTGGGGGACTCCCATATGAAAGGGGCGGGGATACTCGTCGGAAATTTGTAATTAGACCCCTTAAGAAGACCAAGCTGGGCGTGGGCCAACCTTTTTTTGACTCCTAAAAGAAACCATTTTGTTACAATGTTCTTTAGGTATTGATATTATAGAAAACTTTGATGACATGAATTGAGTAAATAAAAAAAAAAAACGAACTGAAAAAATATATATCTTCGTCTGCAACCATTAAAAGAGACCTTTACGGCTAAATACAATGACGTTTTGCCCAGAACACCCTAGAAGAGACCAAAATCCGAAATTTACACCCCTAAGCAAGACGACCAGCATCCCCGCTGCATTCATATGGGAGTTCCCCTGGGTTACTTGTTTACATCTAAGTGTCATCAGCGTGATTTCGTAATTTTCTTTACTGCGCTTTTCACAAACATGTGAACTCTAAAGTTCAAAAGTCGCCTTCACAATTGGGTTTTTCGCTGCCGTCAATCATAATTACGATCACAAGCAACAAACCACGAAACACACAAACACACAAAACGGATCGAAATCCACCAATCACAAACCATGACGTTTTGAACCCGTTACAGTGAAGTTTCGTTTCCTAAGAGGTCCGTGAAGATGATTGACGGCAGCGAAAAACGCAATCGTCAGTTAGCTTTTGAACTTCAGAATTCGCAAGTTTGTGAAAAGCGCAGTAATAAAGACGTGATCATCATAAAACCGCTAATAATAGCTCTGCTCTTGATGAAGATTGCCTTTTTTTGGCGCTAATGCCTTTTAGAAAATGTCTAAAACTTCTTTGGGAGGCGGGGGGGTGCATGACCGCTTCGAATTCGCTGGCTACAAACAACAATTACCCGGCAACTTGAAATCTTAGTGACAACCCTGGCTACAAAACAGATGATTGATTGAAAAATGATTGATTGAATGATTGACTGACTGACTGTATGACCGTTTGATTGACTACCTATAGCCTTGACTGACAGAACAGACTGATTACTTCCAACATTTAGTAAGTTTCTCATTTGATGGAATCACTGTTTGTTTCACGATGGAATGAATGAATAACTGACTGTTTCATTAACTTAATTTTTTTTAGTACAGTCAGTCCGGGTCAAGCATACCCCCAAGATTGCTTTAAGGAAAGATTATTTGAAAAATGAAACCATTAGTTGTTGCCTCAATAATTATCAAATTCAAATCTGCATTCCTGCATGAATTTAATATTTATTGTCTACAAGGCTCAAAATTTGTGCATTCATGGCATAGAGGCTGTCTGCGTGAGGTATTCGAACACATGTTTCAATATGCTGGTAATATCCATTGCTACAACACAAGATATACAGCTAAGAAAAATATTTATAAGATGAGTGTACGAACAAACGTAGCTAGGCAAAAAATCAATTTCTTTTATAGCTACAGACATTTGGAAGGACCTTCCAACTCATTTAAAAAACTCAAGTTTGTCTGCATTTCCAATGAAATTATACACTATCTACTCTCAGAATAACAAATGAAATACGCTACCTGGGTGGCATCACGATTTTGGTTGGGCACGCAACGTAATAAAGGCGTGTGAGGACAGAGAAACAGCAAGGAGATTGGGGCGGGAGCAATGAGAAACCGCCTGCATGGACAGGTGGCCTTTTTGAGTAGTCCGAATGCCCGCGTACGGATCGTTCCATTTGGATCAGAATGTTCACCCGCCAATCAAATATTTGGTAATCTCCTATGGGAGAGTTCCAACTTCAGGACTGAACCATAATCTTCTCCGCAAAACAGAATCAACATATCAAAGAAGTGTTAACAGGGGCGTTGTCAGTCTTAAATATTCGATGGAAAAACAGGGCAATTTTATTGAAGCCTGAACAGGAAATGGCCATTTAAAGTCTTCTTCATAGATGAGAAGTTATGGCAGTTTTGTCCTCATCGAAAACCTGTATGATCACAATTTCGCCTCTTTCGTAAACGTTGTCACTGAGCTGTACAGCAATGGAGCTTAAATTTGCTTTGAGGAAGTCCAGGCACCTCAACTAATTCTCTATTGTGTTTGAGAATAATGCACTACATCAAACAGTGTCAGTGATTGGGGGCGACGAATCGCACACAGTAGAAGAAAGAAGCACAGCATAATTCTGAATACTTTGTGTAGCTTAAGTTTAAGCTGCAACGTAAATCTGAAGATTGCCCTATCCGCAAAAATTCAACATTCTACAAACAACACTTAAAAGCCAGCCGGGCGCAGCATCAAAACATAGCTGGAAATTATTCTTCCTTCTTTGTTTTTTTTCTTCTTATTGTATTTCTTTTGATTTTACCTGCTAGCTACATGTAGAGCCTAAATTGTTCAGGGAGCTAAGAAGAAAACCAACTGGTTCATTTAGCTTCCTAGCTTCCACATGATTTTCATTACATTTAATTTATCTTCTATTGGAAGTAAATTTACTAGATTGTAATATCAACCATGTACATTGACAAAAGCATAAAGATCATTCATCATTCTTTTTAAATAAATTATTGGTTTGTGATTTTTCATGAAATTTCATCCTCACGAAATTAAGTGAGAATAAGGTGCTAACATTTTTTCTCTGGCATTTTATCAAGGGTGCATGAAATCAAGTAAATATGGTACATGTATGTCACACATATTACTGTAAAAAAAATAGAAGAGTTGTTTACCTTGTCCTCAAAGCTGCCTTTTCTTGCTGATCTCGTTTTCTGATTATATTACATTGTCTTGCAGTTTGCCTTGCTGTTCCTCTTCATCAAGATTCTACAATACATGTATGTAACAATGCAGTCTGTCATTGAAAGAAAATCACATTGACAAAAATTACGTTAATATATTGCAACTTTTTTAAGGTTAGAACTTGTGTAAGACAGCCCTGGCAGTGAAAAAAAAACAAGAAAACTTTCTTGTTTAACAATTTAATCATATCATTTTTAAAGACAGTCGATATTTTATTAAGCAATACAGCATTCTACACAGGATACGTGAAAGACGCTAGAGTTAAATAATGACATTTGCAACTCAATCTCTCTTTTGAGGGTTTGCACAGATTTTTGGATCCAAAATTCAAGATTTTTTCCAGACATTTCTGCATGTGTAGCCATCATGAGTTGTAATTGAGGAAGCCTTATGTTATAAGCTCTGTGGTTTCTATTAAAGGCTTCCTCGCCAATTTTGTTCTGTAGTGTATTTTAATTTTTTCCTTTTTTCTTTGTACATTTTGTGGCAAAATAAATAAATCAAATAAATGTCATAAATGAAAGGTACCATTTATCAAAAAAAGGTATACGAAAGGGGTACCTTTTCTGTCCAAAATGGTATATAAAAGGGTAAGGGGTTGGATCATGTTCCAGAGTCCACCACCCCCACCCCCCTGTATAAAATTTTGCTCAGTTCTTCTCCTATGGGCAGCTGTTACCGCCAAAAATACAATCAAGTCAAATAGCACAGACAAAATACAAATGCTCTAGTGATGAATTACGAAATGGTTCAAATAATAAAGGAATGATCATTCTTAAAATAAAATAGTCGGGTTGTTTTGTGTGAAATGGTTCACCTAAACTACAAACGATTTCGTCAGATGAGAATTAAGCTGTTCACTGGTACAGCTGTAGATGTTAAAACAATACCACCAAACAAGAATAGGTTTGTTTAACTTCCTCCTCAATGTTTTTTGCCCCAAAAAGTCAAATCATGCACAAATAAAAAGTTGAAATTACAATGTAATTTCCCAGAGCATTGAAACAATGATGTCTCTGCAGCTGGGTGAAACATTTTCTGGTTTTAAGCTACAAAGACCAGTCCAATGGTTCCTCCAGACCAAAAACCCTCTGCATTGTTTTGTTTTTTTTTGGCTGTAAATTGTTGAGCACTGGCTTACAATTCCTTTTCTTAATTTTTTTTTAAATTTGGCAACAAAAACATTCCTATATATGGCCCATAACTAAGGAACATTATGTTAGACCCCACATAGACTAGACAACTCCAGTCTTGACTTGTCCATTTCACTCTTGTATTTTTGGTGGTTTCGGCGCCAACAATAATGTCAAGTGAAACCATTTTATTTCATGTATCACCATTTGTTTCATCATACCTCCACTTCAGTTGTGATTAAATCATTTGACTTTTTACATTGAATAATTTGCGTATGACTTGAACCATTTGTAAATGTTTGTGTGAATTCTTACTTTACTCAAACTATTATGCAACAGAGCAGCTGACCGTTGGTTATCAAGCTCGATCATGTCGCACATGGTATATTGATGGATTATTATTTAACCAAACTGAATCTTGTTTGGCGGTATTGTTTTAACATCTACGAGTGAACAGCTTCTCATGTGACCAAAATCGTTTGTAGTTTACATGTAGGTGAACCATTTCACGCAAAACAACCAGACTATTTTTATTTTAAGAATGATCACTTCTTTATTATTTAAACGATTTCGTAATTCATCAGTAGACCATTTGCGTTTTGTCTGTGCTATTTGACATGATTGTATGTTTGGTGGTGACAGCTGCCCATATTCTCCCCCCCCCCCCCACCGCCAAGGCAAAATCAGCTTGCCCAAAGGGTAAGATAATATTGGTGAAGTTTATGAGCTGAGATCTGTGAAGAGTTTACACTTCTATGTGTAGCCCACTATAATACATTTTGGTGATGCATTTCCTCGAGGCAAGAGCTAATGTTTTTTACCATTTACATGCAGCACACGTATATTTTACAAAAATGCCAGACAACTCTGAAATTAAGGGATCAGGGTTACAAAACTGAGTGACTCAAGCAGGGTGTCCATTGGATTAGTTGCTCAAAAAAATAGGAAAATAGGAAATTTGGGATTGAGAAAATAGGAAAAATAGGAAACTTTGTATTAAAAAATAGGAGAAAAATAGGAAAATCAATAGTACTTTCGTCAACATAGATAGCCTCCCTGCAACCCCATCAGGGCTATAATAAAGGCCACGAGCCTGTATGTTCGCAGGATTAGACCAACTTCTGCAGCTTAGAAGGAGGGTAAAAGATCAGTAACATTTAGTTTTTTGGCTCAGTTACACTGTAATCAGGATGACATTCTTGACTAAAGGTCGAGCGCAGTTCTATAATCAAAGGGGATCATATGACAATTCCCTTCTAGTTGGCCGCAAATCTTTGAAAAGCTTCAAAGAGTAAAATTTCTTGGGATAGAAATTTCTTACTATTGCGTTGTCATTAAAGGATATTGAACTAAAAAATCCCATGAAAGATTTTCTTCCATTAATCTACAATCGGTAGCTGGTTGAGAATATGATTGTTTGAGTCGAAAGACCGCATAGTTTTAAGAACCAAACCAGGCTTTCCGCAGTGTATGCAAAATGACACTGATCTATTTGGTACCAGATTGTAAGTGTATTATGGTTAAGTTCTAAGAGGAACGTAACACTCTTCTTAGCTATGACTGGAAGAACGGTTTCGGAACCAAAATATTGGATCCTTCATCAGTTGCTTAGGTATAGCTGTTAACAAGAGCTCACCAAGAGAGCTAGTGTCATATACTAAACTTGAGTCTGTTCTTTTCATGTAGCATACAGAATCCAGCTAGTGATTAGTTCTTTAAACAAAAAGCTGATTGGATGATTTATCTGATCTGTGTTGTGAAAGGGCAACTTGATCATGTTTTCAGTTTCAAAGATGAACATGAAAGGGAGCGAGACTTCAAAATAATTATTACATCATAAAGTCTACAGAGAATGAAATGCAGTTTCAGTGGGCTATGCACAATATTATTCAAATATATATTAAGTCATGAGAAATATATCATTTCATACAATACATGTACATGTAGGTGCCCTAGAAAATTATACAAAAAGTAAAAATAATAATTATTGTTACTTTTTGTATAATTTAGAATAATA